ATGTAACGTGGGTGTGTACAATAATTTTCCTCAAAATACGATAATTTTGAGCTGCTGTTACGATAATTCAACATTTCCCACCTGGCAACCCTGCGCGGGAGTAAGAGAGCAAAGGAAGAAGAAAGGAAGAAGTTCGAGAGTTTCTTCTACTCACGTTGAAGTACTCAGAGCATTATTTATTAATTTCTTTTATCCACCTCCCCAAACACAGACCCTCAGGTTAACCTCACAGGTTAGGGACATACCACGTGACATAACACGTTGTGTAGCCATTTCCTTACTGTAATTTATTTTTATTAAACAACAAAGAACACACAAAATGATACAATGTACAAACAAAAAGGCGTATTTCAAACAAACAAACAAACAAACTTGCATAAAAGAGAAAAAGGAAGAAATTCCTTACTGTAAAATTTATATTGTTAATGTTGATAGTGTTCAATAGAAAATAGTGTCACTAGCGCAAGAAATTCCTTACTGTAAAATTTATATTGTTAATGTTGATAGTGTTCAATAGAAAATAGTGTCACTAGCGCCCCCTTCATTTCCGGAATGCAATAGTCCCATTTCCATATAAGGTATGGGACCGACGGAAAGGTCTGTCACCGCCCCGAAGCTGCATGCTGCAGCGAAGTGTACTTGCTCTGGTGGGGAAACGTTTTTTCAGGGATACAAACTTTTTCAGAACACCGTAGACGGCAGCCATTACAGATGAACATGTGTTTTTTGTTGTTCCGGGAGCGGCTCGGTCACATGCTAATGTCATTAGTTCGTTATCATTACTAAGGTGCAGGACTGCTTTTTCCACCCTTTTTTTGCACCATGTCACCTGCCTGGATTTGTTATTATCTCACTCTGAAGAACGGGGGAGCGTCAGAGGTGAGCTTGTTTCAACTGATTTTTACGACACGGTCTCATTTCTGGTGATGTGCGAAATTCAGTTTCCGTGTGAAAATCTGTTCCCCCTACTGGTTAACCTTAGAGAAAATCACTGGCCCAGATATACAGTAACGTCAGACCAATCCTAAATGTTTAGGGAGGCGCTTCTAACACAGAAGGAACAGATTTTCACAGGAGGAACAGATTTTCACAGGGGAACTGAATTTCGTACATCACCGGACTCAGGCATTTTGTGAATGTATTTCAGTTAAAATACTTACCGTAAGTAAAAATATTTATCCGAGTATAGTACTACCCCCCAACTTTATGGATGATTTTATGGATTTAATTTTACGTATTATACTTGAATAAATATGGTAAATGATTTATTCTTGTTGTAATAGATGTTCATAGTGTCTACACACACTCAATGTAAGTGTTAAAGACAAAATGGTATCTTCTCATTTTCCTGTAACTTGTTCTTAGTGGCTTCTAATTCAAGCTCTCAAACTGTATGCAGGCTGGGAGTACTCCTTATGAGGACATCAAGTAATTACTTGGCCAACTGAATTTCTTTAATCGGTTGTTAATGCTGAAATATAGATAAAGGCTTTTGTCAGATGCTGGTCAAACGTCTTGTTTCATTTTTATTTAATGTATTTTTTGCCAAATCCAATTCATGGCACATGTTGGAATGTCAAAGCAAGCGTCAGAATTAATTACAGTTCTTTGAGATTCAAGGATGTTATTGTTAGTGATTCATGTGCACTTGCCATCCAGAATGAATGCAGTTATTATTCTAAAGCATTTTTTTTTCTGTTGAAAGCCTCACTGTTTTATTCATCCAATCCAGAAACTTACTCATTTTATTGGTTTCAATGTATGCATTGTTGTATGCATGTATTGCACATCCATCACTATCTGGAACTCAGTGATTACATTAATTTAATTAATATTGATTGAACTAGTAGCAATATAATAGTTTATTTATCTACTTACTTATTTTTAATACTGTCTTGTTAAAATAATGTACTGTCACCTGCAACGAACATCCAACTTACACAACTAAGTTCAACTGATGTAAAGGTTAATGATGTTACTTGTTTCATCCAGTAAAAAATAAACAAATAAATTAATAAAGAAATTATATAGATTGTACTGGAAACAAAGTTTGAAAAGCATATTAGCAATCAGCTGTGCTGTTCACTTACATGCTCTGAAATAAGTGCGCCGAGTCCACAATCTTTAATTGTACCATAGTGTATCAAATCACAACAAACCTCCTTTTCATGCAGATATGGGGATTAAAATAAATTCTTTATTCAACACTTTATCCTTTCCTCTTTACAAAAGAAAATTTGTGGTCCCAAATGGTTCTCCTTGAAACAGCTCAAGGATGTTTTGTTAGATTATAATCAAGAGACAAACTTGGCAAGATCTTAGTTCACATTTTTTTTGCTTTGAAATGCTTGTGTAATTTTAGTGCCTTGGATTATTTTACTACTTAAATAGTTTTTTTTTTCTATTGCTTATCTTTTAAAGAACAAAGAAATGAACTGTATTGCTGCAAAATTCTTCTATGTCAAAACAGCACATTACCTCATTATCACATTTGACATTGCTAAATGGTTATTTAAACAATGTTGTGCAATTCTGATTGTAACTGACGATATGTACTTTATACTTACTTCAAAGAAAGATGCATCAGTTTATTAGCATGGCAAAATATACCTCTCTGCTTCCAACCTGGTCTTTTTCCAAGTCTCTTTCCTGTCAAAGGGCCTGACATCTCTGTGATATCCACAATGTGTCCTTAGGCATCACAGCACTGATGCAACTGTTGCAGAGATATTAGAAACCGACTACAAAAACATAAAATGTCAATCAGGAGTGTTTGTCTTTGAACAACTGACACGTTGCTCATTAAGCAGCTGGTGAAACTGTGAGGGGAAATAACAGGACCACAAACAGTCACATTTGAAACTTATTTTCAAGAGCACCTTGTTTGTGCGCATAATTTTTGTTTAACCTCAATTTAAGCCAATATTCTAGCTGTTCTTGAGTTAAGTTTGGGCACTAAAACAGCTTGTTTTTTCTCCGGTATGTGAAATGTCTGCAGAACTCACACTGGCCTTCTTTGTACACTGAAAACTGAGACTAAATGTGGTCTTCTACATTTACTTGATAAAATACTTTTTGTATTGTCCAGAAAAAAGGCCTTCCTGGTTCTTGTAGGACTGTTAGGCTAATTTTGTTTTGAACTTGATTTATTTCACTTTAAATTCATGAAATGGCTTCTTCTCTGGAGAGCCTTTGTCAGCCTAACACAACATTTTTCAATCATTTTTCAATCGGAGGCCAAAGCAGCCTGAAGAGTAAGAGTTGTTTTTGGACTGTATGACGTTAATGGCAAACAGTGGGCTGCAAGAGCTGTTTTAGCAGCAGGGCAGTGGGGTGTTAAGTTTGGCTTAATAATACAGAATTTAGCTTCTCCTACCTATGGGCCTGCACACTTCTCCAGGGCAGAAGCTGTAGGCAACTGCAATGCTAATCTAAATTAAAACGATTGTAGTGTTTTCAGCAATTCTTCACCAGAGTTTTACCCCAGTTTTACACTATGTGTAGCTCAGCTCTGCAGCTCACTTCACTCTAAGTTTGTTTCCTCCTTTATTTACACAGCGTCCACTCTGGTGCAATGCACAGAGGTGCTCAGAGAAGCATGCACAGGAAATGTGGAATAATTATGGAATAAAGCCAGTGACAAATCAGTGTGGAAATCAGACCATAACAATTCATTCTGTGAAAACAACAGACTCAACAAAACAGCTAAAACTGCATCACTGTTTCTTTTTTGCACCCATAGTTTTGAATAAAATCCACATATTTGGTTTGTATTATGTGTGTATACAGTATGCCGCATGCTGTCATCTGCTTCCCAAACAGAATGATAGTCTGACAGCACATGTTTAAATTAATATGTATTATTAATATATAGCTAGGATTTCAACAAAATGTAGTCAGTCTTTAGTGAATTATTTTGAAAATATGGATTTTGTGCTCATTCATTTTCCTGTTGGTGCAGTGTGATCCTTGTAGATTGACTCTGCACTTGCTCCGACATAAATAGGATTGAATCTAATTTTGGGGGATTTCTGTGCACAACCACCCCCCCCCCCCACACACACACACACACACTGCAGATGCAGTGTAAATGCTCTCATTGATTATAATGGGTTCACGTTTACTGTGGAGGTTGTGCCGAAAAAGAGCGGAGTGTAAATCGGGGGTTACACTGCTCCATTTGTAATTTCTTATAGTGTCTAGCTGTACTGTTATATTAATGTTAGACTGAAAACAGCTTTAAAATGGCCTTTTGATTTTGAAATACATATATTTCAAAAAAAATGTTGGCCACATGATAAAATAAGAAGGACTGAAACTGGTGACATGACAGGAGTTGAGTTCTCCGCACTATAAAATGAGTTGCTTTGAAATGGTCTCTGGGGTGGAATATGGAGACAGAGCCAGTTTAGCTGTTTCCTCCTATTTAAGTCTTTATGCAGAGCAAACTGTCCGCTAATCAGGAATTATCACTTCCTCCTGACCCATGGCGATAAATTAAGGTAGCGCAACTACTACCAATTCCTGTTAGAGCTTCATATGAGCTAAGTGTCACAAGCTTTAAAAAAACAACAAAGCCTAATCCTTAAAGAACTACCCCCAAAACTATGTATTTTCTGCTTGGTTGCGGTTAATATTTGCAGCACATCTTTTCTCAAACTCATAATTTATTACCAAGAATTGGTGTTTGAAATGTACAGTAGAAACCTGACAAAATGACCTTGGATTGAAGTTAAATAGTGCATTGCCTTTGCCAGAGTACTGTCACAGGTCAGTGTGCTTCCACCAAATATTTTAACCGAGAAATTCTGATCTATCCTCCAAAAGCATAAATCAATGTGACAGGAGGCTATGAAACATGTGTAAGACATGATCATAATATCTTCTCACCATAATGTTCTACAATGAAATATTTCCACAGTTTGCCAGTACAAATTCAGTAAGCCGTAAAAGCTGAGAGCGATACAAGGCTATTTTTGATTTCTCTTATAATTCAAGTTTAATGATGATGGTGCACGGTTCTGAGCTTTGGTCTCTCATGCGTCGTGCGCAAGTCTTTGTTGCCTAGGAACCCACCACCAAGCTCAGAGTGGAGTCATCAGCTGCAAGGCGATGTGTGTGAGTGATTCTTTCTTCTTTTTTTTCCTAAAGCCTTACAGCCGTCATCACTTTGTCAACCTGCGACTCCAGGCCAGCTCGTAGCGTGGCAGGGTCATGCTGCTACACCACATTCAGATCATGATCCCAGCCTCTGTGTGAAGCCAAACCAACACTTCTTTGACAGACTGGTGGTCTTTAAAGAAAGAATAAAATAAAAGAGGACAGTTTTAGAAGGAATGCTAGATTTAAGATAATAAATAGCCCCAATCACATGAGTGTCTATCTCATACACATATGCAAACACCCTCAGAAGGTCTGTGCTGTCAGCTTCATGACTAATGGCAAAAATCACACCTCTAAATGCTATCATCTGCTGAATTCCTCCATAATTTGATGTGTCTGGGATGTCTAAATCTCTTACTGACTGGAAAGATTTTAACACTGAGAGAATAACCACAAAAAGCCCTAATGAATATGTTTCACACCAGATAAACTAATATTCTCTGCCTGTTTAACATCAGCTTGTCATAGGGTCCGTCTCCTCCCTTTGAATGTTTTTTTTCCAGAGAAGGGCCAGACGTGTTGCAGGCTTAAGGATAGAGTCTCAAACCCCACCAAGTCCTGAATGACCCCAACACTCTGTTATCGCTTCACCGCTACTCCTCACACCTGCTCTCAAAGATAATATTTACCCCGTCTGTCATGATCGCACGGTGCATGGGTATGTTTGTTATGTGTCCTCCTCTCTTTATGTCAGACTGTAGTGACGACTTCCATTCTTCGCTTTTTTTTCTCTGATGTCATTTTAGGCAAAAAAAGGGGAAACTGTTTTTTTTTTTTTCTATGGAAAGTGGAAGCTGAGAGTTGGATATGCGCACTGAGCCAAAACCCTCAAGTTAGTCAGGGTAATTGAATTAGGCTTGACATAAATATGAGCATTCTTTTAGCATTTAGAAGTGTACGTTTCTGCTTTGCTTTGGGTTTGATCAGTTGTGTGGAGGCCATACAATTACTCAACAAGTAAGAGGTGCAGAGGGCCAATGATAAACTATTGATTGACTTTGGGTGGTGCAAAGGTTGCGCACACTTCTGCCGAAGCAAGATGTGGTCACTTGTGTTTAGACAAAATAAGAGCTGAGTCATATTCCCTTGAGAAGGGGATTCAAAGGGCTCGAGAATATCACGAGCGATCATTGTCTTGAGTGTTTAAGCTTTGTTAAAGCTTTAAAGGAGACATGCTATGCTTTTAAATCCTTCTTTTTCACGTTGAAATCATTCAGTTGGGGGTCTAAATGAAGTGGAACACCAGAGATTTAGCCCCTTTTTCCACGTCTGTTCTGAGGTGTGTCCCAGATCAACTTGTTTTGGGGCTGTCTCTTTAAATGCTGCGCGCCCTCGCCTCCCCCCCCCCCCCCCCCTTCCCTGCCACTTAAAAC